TTCAGTTGGTATGGAGCTTAGGATTTTATTTTAGTTTACATTACCATGCTTTAACAAGTACAATTGAATAATTTTTTCTTTATGTATGTATGTGAAATACCCAGGAAAAATGAGTAAATCTCCAGGAGGTGGCTCTGAGTTCGGGCTTAAATACTATCTTCAACTGAAACAAAGAATGGGTGTTGTGGGTGTCAATAGTGGGGAGGTAACCAGGAAAAGCCAGGTAAACCAGAGTAAGATTTATTGTCCAGATTTAAGTGGTGCCTTGTCCATTGATAAGAATCTCTCATGATGTAGTCATCCTTCTTGGTAGGAGAGGGAGACACCTTTACACATGGAGGTAGGTTTCCTTTATAGATGTAAATTTCCCTTACAAAAAGGTAACTTCTAGCCTGTTTTTAGAGCTTGTCCTGTGTCTGTAGTGTCTCAAAATAATCAGCTCAAAATAATCCTTTTGCTGGGCTGGGCATGGTGGCTTATGCCTATATTCCCAACACTTTGGGAGGCCAAGGTGGGAAGCTCACTCGAGGCCAGGAGTTCAAGACTAGCCTGGGCAATACAGCGAGAACCTGTCTGTGCAAAAAAATAAGTCAATAAATAATTGGGTGTGGTGGCGCACACCTGTCGCATCTACTTGGGAGGCTAATGAGCACTCCAGCCTGGAAGTTCAAGGAGGCAGTGAGCTGTGATCATGTCACTGCACTCCAGCCTGGGTGACAGTACAAGACCCTGTCTCAAAAAAAAAACAAAGGGTATAGTTTGGGGTGGTATATTGTGGTCTTCTACAGCCATATTTTGAGGTGGCATATTCTGGCCTCCTACATTGTCTTCTAAAATGACCGTACCATTATGCATTCTACCAGCAATGAATGACAGTTTCTGTATCTTCCTCCAGCAATAGTTTGTCACATTTTTAGAGTTTAGCAATTTTAAAAGGTGTGCCGTGCTCATTGTTCTTGTAATTTGCTATTCTCTAATGATATATGATGTTGATCATCTTTTTGTATGATCATTTGCCATCTGTGTTTCTTTTTTGTTGAGGTGTCTGTTCAGATCTTTACCCAATTTAAATTTTTTTGTCTTCTTATTGTTGATTTTTAAAAGTTGTTAGTATATTTTTAATATACATTCTTCTCCAGATATGTATTTTCAAAATATTTCCTATCAGCCTGAAGCTTGTGTTTTTGTTCTCTGAACGTGGTCTTTCACAGAGTATACATTTTTAATGTTATAACATCCATAGAATTATTTTTTTGCCGTGGATCAGGTTTTGGTGTGTGTGTGAAAACTCATCACCAAATCAAAGGTCCCCTAGATTTTTTTCTAGAATCTTTATAGTTTTGCATTTTAAATCTGAGGACTATTTTGAGTGAACTTTTTGTGGAAGTTGTAAAGTTTATGTCTACACTTATTACATATGTTTTCCACTTAATTCTACCCTCCCTC